AACAGTATTTCTTTGTTAAATAAACCACTACTTACGCAAAATCAGAATAGAATAAACTACCGTATTTTCCGCACTATAGGGCACTCTGGATTATAAGGCGCATTAACCCATTGACGCCGGATGCTGCGCAGCACTGAGTCTCCTGCCGGTGTTCCGGATTGTCTGGCGATCAGCGTAACTGGTAAAGGCGGAGCCACATCTGGAAGCATGGGGGCGTGTCCTCCTCTCGCTTCCATTCACTCCCATAGAGACACGCAAAACTGCCGGAGCTGTACTGTCGCGTTAAACCTTCTTTATCGTGGCGTATTATTTCCCCATTGAAAAATAATCCAAATGTTTCCCGCACATGTTCCCATCAAGACCTGGCGTTTGAAGTAACAAACGTTGCTCTTTACTGCCAGTGCATGAACGCGCTCAAACACTTGATCTGTTCGCTGTTCCGGACGCTCCTATAACAGGTGCCATATCGCTGTGTCGTGTAACAAATAAACATGGTCAAGCACAAAAAAGCTGACAGTGACAATGACAGTGAAGACACGGACAACATTTACTCATTACTCATTCATTGTACTCTCATCCCTGCAAAAATAAAGATAATGAAATGAGAAATAAATGAAAACATCCTTTAGTCCTTGTGTCCTACTTTTTAGTCCTGATAAACGCTTGGTTGAGCTTGATGTGTTTGAGAATCTATTTAATATTCTGTAAAAGCAATAAGCCAGTCCAAATGTGTTTGTGTATTAGGGCTGGGAAATGATTCTCGAAACATGACTCACGATACGATATTATCACGATACGACGATACATGTGATAACCGATATGATGCACATGATATTCTGCAATATAACACTATTTTTAAGAACCAAATACATTTTAAGAAGAGTATTTCTGCGTTAAAGCACTACTTATGCAAAGTCAATGTGGAATAAAGCAACTATAAACATTAAAACTGTGAATATGTCAGTCAATCTTTACAACCCTCAAGGTGACCAAAGTGCTTTCCAATAAAACTAATATAATATAAAAAACAATCAAAACTAATATATGGCAAGTGCACTGAATAAACAAGACTCCTTTCACTGAACGAACATCAAAATTGTAGCGCTGTAACAAAATAATTGAATAAAATATGCGAAAAAATACTCTTGATACTGCAGGTCATGATACCGATACTGTATCACCAAATTTAGTATCTTGATATTTCGATATTTTAACACTGTCCTGCTGTATTTAAAAAAGTGTCTGGTACTCTCATTCAGTTCTCTCTGTATAAAGAAAGATAAATTAAATGAAAAATAAATGAAAACATCCTTTAGTCCTTGAGTCCTACTTTTTAGTCCTGATTTATGTTTGGTTGAACATTTTATCTCGGCGTTTGGAGCTTGACGTGTTTGAGAATCAACTTAATATTCTATAAAAACAACACTTCGATCCAAATATGCGCGCGTATCTGATGGCTATTTTAAGAAAATGTCACAGGGGTTTGCAAAAATAAAGCGTTTATTGGAAAAGTGAGTTTGCCTCGGTCTGTTATCGCTCTGAGCTTTTCCATTTTCAGCCACAGACGCAGGAATTCAGACTGGTGACAAAATCCATCGCCAGGAGATTTCAGATATCACTTAATTCAGAACTAACCTTTTATAGGCAAATCTCCACCAGGGAGACAAGTCTTTATCCAAATTTAGCTGAAGAAATGTTTAAAGCTGCACCATGTAACTTTTCTAGTGGAGGATGTGTCATCTACTTGGCTCCATGGAGATGTCATTGGGTCCGGTCAAGCGGCAACGGAGGGAAACAGGGGCAGATTTTTTACATTCAAATGTCTCTTATTCAGAAACTAGAGGGACTACTGAAATAAGTAAAGTATCAGAATGTAGGAAAGAGTTACACTCCAACAGGGTCAAGTTAAACCTGTGATATTCTTTCAAGTTGTTGACAAAAAATTTAAAAACTCATGTCGGTAACGGAGGGAATGAAATATGCAGCACTTTTTGGGCAATAAATACAAACAGTGATAACTCTTGGTTCTCACTTACATATCCTTAACAAACTGGTTTGAATATTTGCTTCATATAGTTTTCTACCATATGGTACAAGATTAGATTGAAAAACCTCTTACTTTTTGAGTAATGAGATTTTTTATTAAGAAAGGTCATGGTAACGGAGGGAAAAGTAACGGAGGGAAAATTGTGCAAACAAGTAGAAGGTGCATGATTTTGTATAATTTGTCGCTTTTTTCTTCCAAATACTTTAATATTACTTCAAAATGAAAGGAATATAAAATATGTCAGTCCTTCCAAGCTAATTTTTATCATTTTAAATAAATTTTTTTGAAAAATCATGTACCTTCATCAACAGTTCAAAGATGGAATAACACAAGATATGATGAAATACATCCATTTATTTACATGATTTGCAGGTCTTTGAAATTTGGGAAATAATTTTTGTTCCATGTTTCATACATGGTCTGTTTAAAATGTATGTAACTTTAGAACCAAAAATGGTACAGAAAAAAGGTACACAGAAGGTAAACTAGAGTACATATGTATCTGTTGAATACATTTTTATATCAGATGCATTAACTAGAACTTTTGGCCTTGCTGTTTACTTCTGCTTGACCGGGCCCCATTGTGTTGTGAAGGTTGCACAGTATGACATTAAACCATAGCGTGTTTAAAGACGTAGACTAAAAGAGTGACGTCATCCAGTGTTCAGCTCCAGTCAAATGAAGCTCATAGATGGTTGCAATTATGGGATAAATTTGGAGCTAAGTTCTATATTAGGAAAGGTTAGATTAGGTTAGGTTGCTTTATTTGTACCCGTAGGTAAATTTGCTTTGCAGGTTTGAGAGGCAAGTTCCACATTTCACATTTCATTCATCCACACCATGTGCAAAAAACACATACAAAAACACAATTACAAAATAAAGTGTTACAGAGCTCCAGTGCAGAATGGTTTGTGCCATAAACAATTACTTAAATTCATCCATCACACTTGGCTAAAATCACAATAAACATCAAATATGTTAAAAACACACAGTCTTTAGATAAATAGAGCAGCCAGAACGAAGCTCCTTTTAAAACGATTTGTTCTAGATCTTGGGACTAAAAGCATCTGACCAGAGGGAAGCAGCTGAAACTCTGAATTTAGTGGATGTTGCACTTCTCTTAAAATACTCTGGGACATCCTCTGTAACTGTCTCGAGTACAGAGAGTCCAGGCGGCTCTGAGGACGGCCAATTACCTCACTCGCCCGTTTAACCAACTGATTCAGGGAGTTCTTGTTTTTAGCAGAGATGCTCCCAAACCATGAGACCAAGGAAAAGGAATTGATTTATGGACAAAATAGTGAAATAAAAAACACACCAGGATCATGCAGAGTGAGTTAATACATAGATTTTAAGACCAAAACGACGAGGCTCACTGCAGCAGTTACAGAGAGAGACGACAGTTTTTTAATGTAAAGTCAATTGGAGCCAGAGTCGATGGAGCCAGAAGAGGCCCCATGCTCATTTCCTTATTGGAACGCAGCAACTAGAGCACAGGTGTCAAACATACGGCCCGGGGGCCAGATGCGGCCCTCCAAGACTTTTAATCTGGCCCTCGGCTGATTTTCTACTAAAATATTTTAATTCTATTTTTTATTAAAATCTTGTTAATTTTCTGTGGTGTTTATCAGAGCAGCGTCTCCAGCGTCTCTGTACGTGGCCCCTCCCACCAGAGCAGCACAAATGAAGACTTGTCTCTTTCCAAACGCTCTTAAAGGACGATCGTTTTGACTGTTGACCGTGACACCCTCATCAGAAAATGTCCAACATGAGAAAAGTGGAGCCGAGTGCAGGATTTTACAACAAAAATTGACTTATTCCTGTTTACATACAAGTTCATGTTAAAACATTGTGTTGAAATTGGATTTTTCTTAAAGTTTCAGGTTGTTCATAATATTATAATATTTTGTAAAAGAAAGAGTTCATCAATTAAAAAAAGATTTCTGTAATAAATTCGTGTTTCTCTGCACAAATATTTGAACTTATTGTTATTTTTGGGCTTTATATGACATGAGTTTTCTGATCCGGCCCCTTTGGATCAAAGTCGGTTGAATACGGCCCCCGGACCAAAATGAGTTTGACACCCCTGAACTAGAGGGTTAGCTATCTATGCATTAAACTTCTCTCAAGTATCTTATCTGTCAAGAAACCAAGTAAGTCATGTCAGATCTGTGGAGAGACCTGGAATGTTCCAAAGTAAGGCATTAAATGTATCAATCTAGCAGTGCCTTTTTTTTTTTTTTTTTCAAATAAAATTTTTTTTTTTTATAATTTTACTGTGAATTTTACTGTGAGTAAGGTCAGTTCTCCACATCTTACTTGCCCTGCTGGTGTCACTTGCCTGTTTCCATGGAGATAAGTTTAATGCAGACTCTCCACAACATAGGAACTACTTTTCCATTCACTTTTTCACCTTGTTCAAGTCACTGAAGTCATACCACACAATTCATTTAACACATTGTTTATCTCAGTGTGTCCCAAACTTTTTTTCTGGGGACCCATATTTTAAAAGTCACAAACCTTCACGAACCAAGTCAATAGACATTATTCGTAAATCACAAAATTAAAGGTGAATTTGACCATTATTGGACATTAATGAGGACATTTTATTGAGTGATCGTGTCTCTCTGAACAATCAGTTTTACTCAAGTTTTAAACAATGAAAAACAGTAATTGAAGCAGCAATAAAAGGATTCAAAAGTCGCCTATTTGGACTTTCAATGTAGCCCATTTCTTTTTTATTTCAACATTCAATTGAACCAGGAACAATGCAGTATCAGTGTCAGAGCTGTATATTGCAGACCTACATGCAGACCATGTGACCCCTCAAAAAAATCTCTTGCAATCCACCAGAGGGTCACAGTCCAATCTTCGGGAAACGATGGTTTATATTGACAGTGAGTGAGTTTTGGTTTGGTTAAATACTGACTTAAATTTTCTTTCTGTTTTGCAGGTGTCCACTGTGCCAAGTTACCCCTTCCCCACCGCCGACGTCCCAGACCACGCCCACTACATCATCGGGGTGGTCATATTGTTTGTGGGCATCACGGGCATTCTGGGAAACTTCCTGGTTGTATACGCTTTTTGCAGGTACGGTTTCAGCTTAAGACCTTTTTCACAACGGCCAGAAGTGCCTCGCTGTAGATTGACGGGAATTTCAGGCAGGAATTTCTGTGGAAATGTCTCGCCTACTCTCCACCAGTTTAATAAATCTGCCTCATCACCAAATCTTCAACCAACAAGATCCACAAAGGACATATTCTGTCCTTGAAGAATTTATCCACAACTATCAAGGTAAGAAAGACGAAAACTTAAAGGCGAACGACGACTAGAATTGACTAGAAATCTACTACTAAGCAAAACTAGTGTGACAGTTTGCTAGAGATGTCTATCATTCAAACTGCACAAATCTATCTATCTATGTCAATATCGACATCATGAAATCGATTTTTTTTATTTTTTATTCTAGAATCAGTCTGAGTTAACAAGTTACTTATGCTTTACTCATGACCACAGTGTTAGTTTTGCTCAGGAGTAGTTCACCAATGTGTCGTCGTCGTTCGCCTTTAAGTTTTCGTCTTTCTTACCTTGATAGTTGTGGATAAATTCTACATGGACAGAATGTTTATCCTTTGTCGACCTTGTTGGATGAAGATTTGGTGATGGGGCAGATTTATGAAGCTGGTGGAAAATACGTGAGACATTTCCACAGATATTTTGCCATGGAAAACCATTCACCGGACATTTTGCACATCAAAATCAGGGAACTTCTGGCCGTTGTGAAAAAGGGCTATTTTTTGTCAGTCTGTTTTCTGTCCTCTTCTCTCAAACCAAAATACTTCTAAAAATGTATTTTCACTATCCCTGCTAAATACTATATAGGCATTCATAGTATTATACACTGAAAAAAAAAAATCTAAGTTAAAATGACTTAAATTAAGAACATTTTACTTTATTTACGTTGATTTAACTTGACACTGAACATTATCTACCAATGGATTAAGTGTGTATTGTCGAAAAAATTATATATCTCTTGAAGATAAATAATTAATCCATTTGCAAAGCCCGATGAGTTTTTGGAATATAGACCAAAGTTTATTCTTGTTACAGCAGATATGGACAGGACCTAGGCCTGTTCTGGCCAAAGCCCAACAGCCTCTCTCCACCAGTAGTATGTCCCTACCACCTCCTGCCCCATCTTCCAAGTCTCTCTCCAATATCTGCCCCGTATCTGCCCCAGAGCATCTGAGTTCTGAGTATTTATACAGAAATACAAGTTACAAACATATCAAAGCAGAGTGACTTTGGTTTCAGAGGCTGGTGCTAATTTAACATACAGAGTGCGTATACATGCACATCAGTAACCCGGTTATGATCGGGTTTTTTGAGTATCCCGGTTTCTTGATGGTGCATGTAAACGCAGTAACCTGGTTTCAGTAACCCGGTTATGGCAGTGTCCCGGTTATTAGAAACCGGGTTACTGTAGCTGGTTTATTCCGATAGTAACCGGGTTACTTGTGGCATGTATATGCAGTACCCCGGTTACTGCAACATAAAGTTGAGTGCGCATGCGTCCAAAAGACACTTTCCAGCCTTTCACCACAACAGTAGTCACATAAATAAATTGACCAACATAAATAAAGTGACCAAACGAGTGAAATGACTGTAAAATAAAGAGCTGCGCTAAACCTGCACACGTACAACCTGCACTCGTGTGACGCTGAAAAACTAAAACATGAACTATCTCCTATACAACACACGCACAGAACACACTTACCATCATCAGCACCTCTTCTGTCACAGAAATAACACACATAATCCACAGAGTCATGTCATTTACTCCAAAAGAAACTGATCGCATCAGCGGCGCAAGGAGCGAGTTGTTTTTATCGCCGCTAACAGTTTATGTTAATTAGCCTCGGTCTTAAGTTTCATTTCTGTAAAACATCAACAAATGTGATCAGAGCTGAATTATCTGATCAAACGGGCTGATGTGTCTATAGTCTTTATGGTTTATATGTTGTAAAGTTGAGTTTATTTATGCAGAATATTTTAATGAAGAATCTGCACAGTGGATTGTGGGAGATCTCGTAGCTCTTTAGCTTCTTATGCTAAAGGAGCTCACGGTTTGTATTTTTCCTGGTTTATGAAATTGATTTAAGTTAATTTTTGCGCCTGCGCATTTGTAAGATTATGTCAAGAAACCAGGATACTCCATTTGATCATGTATACGCGGATATGAGTGTCCCGGTTTCTCAGTGCGCATGTAAACGCAGTAACCCGAATACTGACATAACCGGGATATTGATGTGCATGTATACGCACTCACAGTTGAGGACAACAGAGGGCTTCCTGAAGGAGGAGACAGTTGTGTCTGATGAACCTTTACACATGTTAACGACTGGTCTGGGTTTCAGGTAGAAATCACATTCATTTACACATAGACAGATTGAACGAAATCCTTCCACAATCTAAACTTCTATCACAGTGTGTTTTTCTTAATTCAAGCAACATTCGATTTTGTTTCTTATTTTAAGTGCAAAAAGTTGTTGTTTTTCTTATTATTAAGTGCAGCAAAATGTATTTTCATATTTAAGTACAAAATGTCTTGCTCCACTGACAGATAATTTTACTCGTCAAGTGAAATTTACTCAAATCATGATGAAACTTTCTTAATTCGAGACATCTTAACTTGACTAGATTTTGTTTTTGGGAGTGTAGTTATTCACCAAAATTAAAGGTTGTATAGAGGATTTTCCAAGGAACGAGAAATCCAGCGCCTGTTTGTCCTTTTTCAAATGTTGCGCATGCGTGAAACCCCCCCCCTCCCCTACAGCTCCTACGTAGAAACGCCTTCTCCCTCCTCCGCCAGAAACAGGTTTGTTTACAGCCGGTGCGCTGCACATGACTTGTAAACAACTAACTACAGTGTTGGTTAGGCAAGACGGAGAAGTGAGGAGCGGGGGGGGGCGGGTGCGCGGACATTTCGTGCGCGGACGAGAAGTGAGGAGCAGGGAGAAGAGCGGAGCAGGGAGCAGGGAGAGGAGAGAGGAGAGGGAGAGGAGAGGAGAGGGGAGCGGAGATTTCCGTGCCCGAGAAAGTGAGGAGCAGGGGGAAGAGTGGAACGGGCAGCGGGGACAGGAGCAGGAAAGGGGTGTAGAGAAGAGTGCGCGGAGATTCAGTGCGAATGAACTAGCTACAACACGCAGCAGCAAGCGGACTCTTTCTTTGCACTTGAAAATTACGTTTTCAGACATAGGATATCGCTTTTGTGTCCTGAAAAACGTTTGTCTCGCTCTTGGAAATAAAGTACGTTTTCATAATAAAGCAGAAGTTTCCTGTCCAGGAGTAATTTGTGGACCAGTGCGTCAGTCTTTAGACCCTGCGTCTGCTTCAGTTGCGCCATCGCTGGAATGAATCTTCAAGAATCACCTTAGTTTGGCTTCGCTGCTTTTCCCCTTGTCTTCTTCTTTCAGCGACCTCAAAAACGGACTTTCTTTTGCGGCGAACTGCTCCTGGATTCTTGTCGCTATTGCAACAAACTTTGTGCGAACTGCGAGGAAGATATAGGTCAAAAAAAGCGCTAAGAACTGTTTGCGTTTGGTGGAGTAAACAGTGTCTGTGCGTCTTGCGTCTGTGGACTGCGTGACAGGCGTACATAAACCACGTACCGGCATCACGCAGGCAAGTCAGTTACACTAGAAACGTAGGGAGTTTGATTGACAGCCTGTCAGCTCACAGATAACGAGGCAGTGTTGTTATCTATTGGCAAATGTTTAACCCCACCACGTCCAGAGTTGATGAATTTTTATTCTCTTTTTTTTGGTCATCATAATTACAAGGCTACTGCACCTCTATAATCTATCATTGACAATTTGAAACAAAAAAAATCCTCCATACAACCTTTAAATCTTATAAGTGCCTTTCACAAGTTTCAGAGGTCAGAGCAGCGTTTCGAAGCCACTGTAACTCTAAACTTCCTGGTTTATGTTACACATGTCGGATAAAGCCAATGATCGAATAAAAGGAACAGGAGGAAGGCTACATAAAGAGAGAACTAAATCACAGTAACAAAATCACTAAAATGGCATGTCGTAAAAGAGCTCAAAACAAAACTGGCTTCTATTTTTACATGTCCTAGCCCTTTTCCTGATGATTTAATTTCGTTTTCTCTCTCCAGGAGCCGAAGTTTGCGCACTCCTTCCAACATCTTCATTATAAACCTGGCAATCGCAGACTTCCTCATGTGTATCACCCAGACGCCCACCTTCTTTGTGAACAGCATGCACAAACGCTGGATCTTTGGCCGCAAAGGTAAGACGCGGATTACAACACAGAACGTCCTTCAACTCTCTCCAGACATCAAAATGCAATTGCTGAGCTGTTCTGTATTCACATAAGAAATCCCGATGTCTCATGTTAGAAAGTTTGGAGCTTGACGGTGGAGCCCAGAGATGTCAATGATGCAACGAATAGAAAGTATATATATATTTGACAAGTAAAAACTCTGCCGAAAAGATCTATGGAGAAGAGGAGGAGAGGAGGAGGTGGTCGGTGGTTCCGCTGCTGTGGTCATTCTGGTTTCAAATGTGATGGTCGAGTGAAAAAGTCAGAGATTGGATGAGTCACCTGTTTGTGTCCAGGGAGATTTGTTTAGTTTAATGCCATACTGTGGAACATGACAGGCAAAGCAATGACAAATTACATAACAATATGACATAACAGTTATGTTGTGAAACTGTACAGTGTCACATCTCAGAGAATTTTCAGCCTGATCTTAAATAAATGGAGAGTTTAAGATATGCAACACATTTCTATTAGTATTCTTAGCAGTTTATCAAGTTGCTCCACATGTTTTTGCTAATTTAAATGACGTTTAGGTAAGGTTGGGTATCATTTTGACGATGTGATACATATCTCGATACACTGAGCTTTCAATTCGATATGATTCTGTATGATATATTTCAAATCAATTCGATACGATTCAATAAAAAATAAAGGCTAAATCACGGCTGCGATACTAAAAGTCTTTGTTAAACCACTTTTTGTGCAAAGTTCATATGAAACACAAACATTTTAATCATCAAAACAGTGAAAATGTCAAATTTGTCTCATAAACAAGTTTCCGTCCTCTGAACAAACAACAAAACTGCAGCTATAACAAAATAATTTAGTAAAATATAACAAAAAATACTCTTGGCGATATATTGATACAGCAGCCTACTATACTGATACTGTATCAGCACATTAAACGATACGATATATCAATATTTTGATATTTTTGTACACCCCTACTTTTAGCACATCTTCCATAATGCAATTTTTTTTTTTTAAATACGCTCTTTTCAGGATAATATTTTCACGGACCGGCTGCGTATAGGAGCAGACACGGTCTGTGCAGCGTACAGGAGGAGACGGGGTCCGTGAGGCATGGTTTAACCCTGGTTAAATCCTGTTTTAGTCCTGGTTTAGTTCTCGTTTTAAACCTAGTTTAGTCCTGGTTTAGTGCTGGTCTTAGTTCTGGTTTAGAAGCGCGAGAAACATGGGAGATGGCACAGACCACGTAGCGTATGGGAGGGGTCATGCTTTCTCGGCCCGGTACCAAAAGACCTATGGCCTGGTACCTGTCCACAGCCCGGGGGTTGGGGACCCCTGGTCTAAGCCCCTATCCATGCTTCCAAAATGTGATGAGAGCAGTCAGTAGGCTCTATTCACACTTATGTCACAAAACCGGAAGACGTTTGGAAACATGCGGATGACGACTTCCTTTGGGCTCCGTCGATGATAGAAAATCTCGGAAAACTGAGAAACTGGCCCGATTTTCTTCACCTAGACGTCATTGTATTCTTTCTTTTTTCCTATATAAATTGTCTATTTATTTGTGTATTACAAAAACGGCTGCCTTTAAGTTACATCGAAGCGGCGATTAGTCATGTCCCCCATGGAAAATCTTCGACAGGTTGTTAAGACCGCTGCTGCTGAATCCACGGTTTAATCCCATGCCCAGTGTCGGTAACTCCACCAGAATTCGTCATCCGCATGTTTCCAATGTCTTCTGGTAAGAGTGAATAGAACCTATTGACAGACAAGTACGGCCACATCCTGAGCTCTACAGTTACATAGGAAGGGCGTCTTTAAAGTTGTACCTTACAACAAAACGACAACATCCAGACATTACTCAGGCTTTGTCCCTTAGGTCGCCAACTTTCCATCAACAACCTCACACGCCCCTTTCTCCACTTCCTATAGGGCAATGTCAGTATTAATCCTTTATTGTTACATTGCACGCTTCGTGTGTTTTAATTAATATTCCACACAATGCTAACCCGGGCATGCTTCATCACAATTTAAAACCAGCTTACGCAGCGCTCCATCCAGCATCTATTGATCTAAACTAAGAACAAGGAAACAACCACACGTGAAAGTAGGTGTGCGGTCATACATACTAAACTTGAAAACTGCCCCCGGGGGAACAAAGATAGCGTGACGTTGTGTAAAGAAGACGTCTGACTCGGTTGATCAAACACAGATAGTAACGTGCTAGGAGATGCATTTTGACCTTGCAGCGGACAGCTAAAGGCTTTTGTTAGATCAGTGGAGCTCCATGGGTTCAGTGGTATGTCTTTTATTCAATTTATGCTCACACTCTATGAGACCGCGCAGGCCAGTGTGGCAGCGCCTGGAGGCAAGCATCAAAGAGGAGCGAGGAGGTAGTTACGGAGATGGTTTTGTTAAGAAGAGGTGGTAAATATATCAGTACTGGTGCGATATCAAAGGGTTTTACTATATTACAGTGTTCGATTAGGGTCCTATGTGATGCAAAATTGACTCTTGTGAGCTTTAAGTCATGTTTGAACGTTGTTTTCGAATCAAAAACATACCTGGAGTTGTTTTCGCAAAATGTACAGTTTGTGTTCATTGCCCTTCTAAGATGATTCTTTAGCGGATAAGAGCGATTTAGAAGTTCGTAGCAGATTTCCCTTTGCTTGTTGGTGATTTGTGAGGTCACGTCCGTACTTTTTTCCATGGAATATTGTCAATACAGTCAGGCTGCTGACAGCGCACGAGTAGGGCTCCGTTTAGGAGGTGCACTTGTGGTGATAGTCGCTCTTTTTTCGTGGCGACTCATTATTAAACAAGTTTAATTTAAGATGAAGCCAAGTCAGATCCTTTTGAAAAGTTTTTCAAAGATTGGTGCGCAGCGTCTTCACTCACGCCTGCTCAAGTCGACATCTTCAGGTGCGGCCCTGTCCTGCCGCTTGCCCAGTTTAGGCTCCACTAATGACATCACTCTGCAGCCAATAAAACAGTGGCAGGTGTAACCCTGTCGTCATATCACCGAACACATCTCAGAACGCCTAATAAACAAAATGTGAACTAAAACGTGTTAAATTAATACTATTGAGTTTGGAAAAATATCAGAATAAATTTATATTTTTGTTTATTAAAATAAAATGGCAAATACTGGTAGGTACTATTTTGTCTACAAATATTGGTTGTGATATGTCCCCACTTTCCCTATGCAAACCTACAGCCTTGCCTCTGAGAGTCGAAACTGAGACAAGACCAAGACTTTTAAAGGTCGAGAGCGAGACAAGACCGAAACCACGACTCATCAAGACCAGCTTTGTCATTTTCTACATTGATTTGTATGTTACACTTATTTTGGGACATTTATATCAATGACACATTTATATCAACATTTATTATAAATTTATCTCTGATTAATGTTCATTTATGTTTAAAATAGGCCAAGCAAACTGTGCTGTAATTAAACACTCTGCGCCCCTTTTTTGGACCCTCACTCACAGTTTGAGAACCTCTTCTTTAATCCCACTTCCACTGGCACTTTACAGAAAACAACTTCAGTTAATCAAGTGGGTTTTTTCAAGTTCATAACATTTGCATTATCTTACTGGTTTTGCAGTGATATTGAGCAGACTGCACATTCATCGGCCGTAATGAAATATGATTGCACTCGTCGAGTGTCAGTTCTTGTCTTGAGTCCGAGACAAGAACAAAACCAAGAGTCATCAAGCCCAAGACAAGACCGAGTCTAAATGTGCTTGAGTTCGAGATGAGACCAAGACCATAAAAAGCAGTCTCAAAGCCGGTGTCAAAAGCAAGATCGGTCTCGAGTACCACGACACTATGACTAATTAACTAACTAATGACATCTACATCTCCAAAACTCAATATTGAAATGATACTGGATGATTCATCATTGATTTGATATAGAACAAAAACCCAAATATTTAGAACCAAATTTTTTCCAAGCTGATGACGGACCCCCCACAAGAAAAGTTACACAATACACTCTTAACATTTAAATAATAAAACAATCTAGTATCAGTAAGCCTACATTTACTGTATTTTCACTAATGCAAATCAAGTTTGAAACATTTTTATTATGCTGCAAGAACTCACTTATGTAATTTTATAGAACAACCTCGACCACCTGACTTTATCAAGCCTGGTTTATCTTATCTTATCTACAATGTTTTGCTAACAATTTTGTCTCTCTTCAAACTTAATTAGGTTGACGTCTGACAGCCTTATTATCTTAACAGTGTCTTTCTGGTTATTGGCAAGGGAGCGGGTTGTTTGACAAATTAAGTTCAAAGTATTACTGAGGGTTCAAAAGTTGTCATCTGTAAAGTTTTAAAGGTCCTATATTATGCAAAATGGACTCTTGTGAAGTCTAAGTCATGTTATAATGTTGTTCCGTCATCAAAGACATACCAGGAGTCATTTGAGATGTTTGAGTGACCTTTTATTATTAGTCTGTCTACATCTCCAAAGCACAAAATGCTCCACCTTGTGATGTCATGAAACAGAAGTTTCAGAAGAACAGCTACCTTTTACTTTTTGTTCACTAGAAATCTGCAATTTCAGGATGGAAATTATCCAAATGATTCTAATGAAGGTGCATGGAGTGTTTCCTGTTTGTGAGAAGAACTCAGTTTAAATATGCAGGATTTGTCTGTTAAACATGTGAATGATACAAAACAACTCCAGGTCTGTTGGGCCCTTTAAGATACTCTTACTTGAATAATCTCTTAAACCACGACTTCTTACTTCTTCTTGAGTAATATTATTTTGAAGTACCATTACTTTTCCACCATCCATCCATTTTCTTCCGCTTATCTCGGGCCAGGTCGCAGGGGCATCAGTCTAAGCAGGGACTCCCAGACTTCCTTCACCGCAGACACTTCCTCCAGCTCCTCCAGGGGGACCCTGAGCGGTTCCCAGGCCAGCCCAGAGACATAGTCCCTCCAGCGTGTCCAGGGTCTTCCCAGGACGTTCCTACCCTC